TTTAAACCAGGCAGTGTCCCCTTTTCCTGTTCGAATGACTGCCTCTTGGTCTATGTACAGGTTTAGTATGAGCACAATTACGTGTTCTGGAATTCCCATTCTTTACAATATTATCCATAATTTGTTGTCATCTACAACTTCAAATGCCTTTGCATAGTCAGTAACATACAGGCACATGGTATTTGTTTATATGTATTTATAAAACCTTAATTATCACACCTTTGCTGAAAGTATATCCATACAGGGGAAAAAGTTATAAAAACGTCTTCAACATAACCAAACACCTTAAGGAAATGAGTCCCAGGGCCTGAGGTTTCAGGTCCAGGGTTTTTGGGGGCACCAACATCAGTTGGTATAACAACAATCAAAGATAATGTTTTGTATCCTACTTTGGTGACCAGCTACTGGGGTCTTAAAAACTAGTGTGCCTCCATTTAAGGTACAATTCTTTCTCTGTCTGGAGGAAAGATGAGCGAAGAAGATGAAAACAAAACAAAACTAAACCATGGCAATAGTTACCCAGTGGACTAGGGGACCACATGAACATCAGTCTCCACTACCCTGAAACCAGAACTAAGTGGTACCCAACTCCCACTACCAACTGCTCTGAAATTGATTACATTAGAAGGTTCTGGGTAGAGTGGGAGAAAACATGGAACACAGCTCAAAATCACTAAAAAGACTGGGCTTATACTGTCAGATAGAAGCTGGTAGAGCCCCTGAGACTGTGGCCCTTATTAGACCCACTTCAGGTCTGGAGATGAACTCAGTCACTCTGCTCAATTCTCAGCCAAACACTAGACAACAGGTTTGTAAGGGGAGTGATAATACTAGGGAGGTATGCATAACTTAAAATAATCAGCCATTTGAGATCAATAGGCCTTTACCCAAAGACAAAATTCAGAAGGGTTAGGAAAGTAAGGGAATGAGGAAACACACAGAGGGAAAGAGGTTTAAGTGGTATCGGTGATGTTGTTGTTAAGTGCTATCGAGTCAATTCCGACCCATAGCGACCCTGCATAGGATTTCTGAGGAGCAGCTGGCGAGCTTGAACTGCTGATCTTGCTGTTCAAACTGACTTTGCAGTCCAGCACATTAACCCATAGCACCACACCAGGACTCCATTTTGTAGGAATTGAAAGAAAGTGTGTACAAGAGTGGTGAATGGAAAACTGATTTGCACAGTAAGCCTTCACCAGTTTACAATAAAAAGTAAAAAAACAAATAAACGCGTAGGTAAACATCTTTCTGGTATTCTTTGCTTTCAGTCAAGATCCATATGACATCATCATTGATATCTCTTGTTCATGTTATTTGATATAATAAATTATAAATTATATGATATATTAAAATCTAGTGAAGCATTTTATATGAATTAATATGGAGTAATGAACTTCTCTTATGTCACTGTAGGATAAGCACTGGACTGCAAACCACATGGTCCGTGGTTCAAACCCACCAGCTGCTCCTCGGAAACACTATACATAGTCACTAGGAGTCAGAATCAATGTCACTTAACAACACAGTGGAGTAATTTTAGGAAGAGAGATATTCAAAATTGTCTTATAAAATTAGAAGACTTTTGTTTTTGTTAAAAATACTAGATTTCTCTTGAAATTAATATTGGAAATTTGAAGTATTATATTTTTGCAAAAAAATATGTATTTATAATTGCATAGTGTAGCTATATGATGTCCTTCATTTTGTGCATTAAGAAAACTGTAAGGACTGGAAAGTATCTCTAGAAAAAGGCAGTTAAAATCATCAAAAGGCTTGTTGTTGTTTAATGCCATTGACTCTGTTCTGACTCATAGCGACCCTTTATAGGGTTTCTGAGGAGCAGCTGTTAAACTTGAACTGCTAACCTTGCGGTTCAAACTGACTTTGCAGTCTAGTGCAGTAATCCACAGTGCCATACCAGGACTTCAATCAGAAAGCTAGAGTGGCTTTAAAATAGTTCATTTGATAAGTTGGAATGATCATTGGGGATATAATTAGAAAACTTTAGAGCTACAAGAGAATTAGGCTTAATCCAAGCTAAGCATTACATGCTTGTTTTATTTATTTATTCATATTGTGAATGGAGTGAAGGTTAACAGACAAGATCATCAGTTTTACATTCAACACCTCATACACTTTGTTTCATCTCAGTGATTGCAGTCATCTCCTTGCCACAGCAGTAGCCCGACTTCCTCCCTCTGGTTAACATAGGGATCTTGTTAAGTATAGCTTGTGATTCAGTATGTCTGGGGTGGAGTCCTGGTGTGGTGCTGTAGGATTAGTGCTGGACTATGAAGTTGGTTTGAGCTAGAAGGTTGGTGGTTCAAACTCACCAGCCACTCTCAGAAACCCTATATGGGGGTCCCTGTGGAGTCCTGGTGTGGCGCTGAGGGTTAATGCACCAGACTCCTAAGCTGTATGAACAGCAAGGTTGGTGGTTCAAGCTCACCAGCTGCTCCTTGGAAACCCTATACAGGGTTGCTATGGGTAGGAATGGACTTGAGGACACTTTACAAAGAGTGGCAACCAAGGCACTTACAACAACAACAACAACTAGTGGAAACCAACTGAGTGGCCACTTAACAGCAACAATATGTGGAATGGAAATGCAAATCCTCAGCAGAAGGCTGAACCAGAATGAAGCCCTGGTTTAAATTCCTGCCCTGTCACTGAGATGCTGAATGGCCCTGGGCAAAATCTTAGCCTCTCTGTGTTTATTTCTGTACACAGAGCATTCTGGTAGTATATTTCCAAGATAGATTTATTTATTTTTCTGACAGTCCATGGTACTTTCAGTATTCTTCTCTAAAACCATAATTCAAATGCCTGCATTCTAATACAGTCTTCCTTATTCATTAGCCAACTTTTGCATGCATATGAGGCGATTGAAATACCATGACTTAGGTCAGACCCACGTTAGTCCTCAAACGGACATCTTTGCTCTTTAGAATTTTAAAAAGGTCTTTCTCAGCAGATTTGCCAAGTACTGTTTTTGATTTCTTGGCTACTGATTCTGTCAGTGTTGATTGTGGATCTAAGCAAACTGAAGTCTCTGACAACTCCATTCTTTTCTGTTTATCATAATGTTATTGTCCAATTACAAGGATTTTTGTTTTCTTTACATTGCAGTGCAGTGCAGTCCGGTGTTTAACCCATTGTGCCACTAGTATTTCTTTAAATGTGAAAGGTACTCAGTAAATATTCCTAGATTGAATAAGTGATTAGGAGTGACATTTTGATGAGTCCAAGTATTTTAATTACTTAGAAAATTTTGTCTTAATATATGTAGAAGGAATTCTTGGTCTAAAATCTGTAAGACATTAAATATAGACTACTCTTGAGAAATTTTGATAAGGCAAATGTTGGAAACTAGACAAAGACAGTTTTGTTTTTTTAGGATGGGAGAGACTTAAATGTGTTTATAAATCATAGGAAAGAAGCTATTGAGAAAAATAAAGTTTAACTAGAAGGAGAGTGTAGATGGGCCCAAGTGTGGAAAATGATTAGACAGACCTTGAACAGGATAAAGACTATGACATGTTGAGCATGAGGAAAGAGGTAAGTCTTTAAGTAGATGTGTAAGAAGATACGGAAAAGTACTCCTCATGACTTTATTTTCTCCAATGAAGAAGAAGGCGAGTTTGTTGAAAGAAATTAAGAATTGGGTAACAGTTTTTAGGAGAATGGTGAATGTTTAGGGTGGTATTGATTGAAATAGGAGAAGGGCTAACTGTTTGATTCCTGTCTTAGTCTGGTTCTCTACAGGAGCAAAATCAGTAAAGCGTACATATTAACATAGAGAGATTTACTTTAAAGAACTGGCTCATGTACTTGTACAGTTGGCAGGTCTCAAATGCCTGCATTAGATGGCAGCCTGAAGACTTTAGCTGGCTCATTTGGTTCTAGGGGCAAACAAACCCCAAATCGGAAGGTCTGGTGGCAGGCTGAAGACTTCTACAAAGGCTTATGTCCCAAGAACCGGGAGTCAGGTGATGAGAAGAGTGAAGTGTTGAGAGAGAGACAGGAGCGAACGAACTGTGCTGGAACATCTATTTATACACTGGAGGCAGGTCACACTCCCAAGAATACTCCCTACCCTTTCAAGTGATGAGCTGATTACATCAGATCACCTCATGGAAGTGGTTGTATTCTATTGCCTTACGGAAGAGCAACCAGGCCGGTGTCTGCCAAGCTGACACATAATTAGCCACGACATTCCTTAAATAAGGATTTTTCATCTGCACGTTAGTTAAGATTAACTAGTAGTATGGCTATGATGAATGTATCATACGAAAGGGAAAGGATTATTGTTTCACTTAATGCAGCATATTTGTTTTGCATCTGCTAGTTCTAGAACACTGTGCCACATGCTTAGTGGGAGATTCAGATGAATGCTGTCTTATTCAAGAAGTGAATAGCTCAGGTTATGTAATTTGTCACTACACAGTTGTTTTTAATAGCCAAAAAATGGTAAATGGCATGTGTTTTTATCATATATTATGAGAGTTTGAAAAAATGGGAAGGTTTTATGGAAAAGACAAAAAAGAGATATGTATAGATTTTCTGATGAAATAATAATGAAAGTAGTTATGAGTTTTTATTACAGCAATCATTTATATTGCTATAATGCAGTGACTAGCATTAAGTAGAAGAAGACAAAGAGAGAGAAAAACATAACAGTGAATTCTATTTTGTCAGAAGGATGTTTTAAAATGTATTACATTTTATGCAGAATATAGAATTCGGCAGTCCTTTCCACTGATATTTACTGAAAGCTCTGTGGGGGGTTCTGAGGATTCAGAGATGACTAAGATAAAGCATCTGACCTAAGTGATGCACACTCTAATAGAAGAGACAGAAGTGAAAAGAAAGAACTTGAATTCTACACAATACGTGATATAAAAGCAGAATAAATGAGTAAGGAAATTTGGGGTACAGTAGGAGGAATACATGATTGCAGTGCTATGACTACAGTAATGCTTTTTCTTTTTTCTCTTTAGTTGGAGAACACCAACTGACAGGCCATAAAGTAGCCGTTAAAATCTTAAATAGACAGAAGATTCGCAGTTTAGATGTTGTTGGGAAAATAAAACGAGAAATTCAGAATCTAAAACTCTTTCGTCACCCTCATATTATCAAACTGTAAGTAGTTTTGTATGATAGTCCCGAAGAAAAATAGTTATGAAATTTTCTTATAAAATTGTAGTTGATTAGTTCTAATTAACCTTTTGAAAGTGTATCATTCAAATCCTTGTTTGTGTACTCCTGTTTTAGAATGAAAGTCATTATTTAAAAATTGCTTGTGTACTCAAGTGATGAAGGAGTGGAGTGGGTTACAAGGTCAGCAGTTCGAATCTCCTAGCTGCTCTGTGGAAGAAAGATGAGACTCTCTGCTCCCATAAAAATGTACAGCCTTGGAAACCGTATACAGAGTTGCTATGAGTCAGAACTGACTTTATAACACATGGGCACCACACCCAACACTCATGTGATGAATGCAGTCTTGGAAGTTGACTAGTACCTCTTGTTTTCCTTTAACAGGGCATCCAAGATTTTGTTAGTCTTTGATTAATGTAATGTTTTCTAGTTTCTTTTCATTAACATTTGGATATTTAATTGTTAGAAAAGCTAAAAAATAATTGTTACTTATTATCTACCATAGTATGTGTAGAATTTGCAAGTGTAACTGTGATTACTAATAGTAAAGCTTATATAAAACCAAATGATTTTAAAAATAAGTGATAAACTTAAAACATACAGATACAAGTATTTAAAGATCATTAAATAAACTAAATAATTAAATTTGAAATAAATAAGACACTTAAAAACAGACTAAACCCATAGAAAATCTATATATTATGTATGTGACAATATCCCTTTCTATCATTTGAAGTTACAGCGTAATACTTATTAATGTAGTGTGATAGACACTGAAGGTTGTCTTCTTAAAACCTAGATGAAGTTATATACAACAAGTATTAACATTACTTATTGCATGTCTGATAGTGGCCAGGAATTTAAATGTTTTACATATGTGATTTTGCTTTTTTCTTATGATCAAGTTAAGTATTATCATCCTCATTTTATAGGCTAGGAAACTGCACATCCAAGGAGGAGCAGCAGTTTATCCAAGGTGGTACAGCTAGTCAGTTATAAAGGTGTTATTTGAGTTCAGATCTGACCCTCCAAATGCCACGCCGTCATCTTAACTTAGTACTACTTTCTTCGGACAGTGTTTACATAAACCCATTTAACATTTATGAATCTTTGGTTTTGATTTATTTTCAATATACTGTTACATAAGAATGTGGAAACAAATACTTAGATGTAAACCGCATATTCTTACAGCTTTGATACAGTTATGAAGCCAAATATATAATTTAAATACAAATAATACTGAGATCAATGAAATTCCAAGTAGTGTCAGTAGTATAATGTGACAAATAATGCTGTTTTGCTATTGGCAAATTTGTTAGTGATTTAATAGTTGAAGGAGGTCTAATCATATATTTGTTTTCATTCAAATAATATTGTTACAGAGAAAAGCTGTTCATATTGTAAAAATTGGAATTAATATCTCTGAGACTTGCTAGTTTGTTATATGCTTAGCCTTAGCTTTGTCAGCGAGCAGTCTTTGAATGCCAGTGTTAATGTGTTGCCACTTGATAATCCTGTTGAGTTACATGATTTACAAGATGACTAGGCTAACATAGTATCGGTGGTAAGCAGAATAATGAGCTTCCAAAGATATCTACCACTTATCTTTCAGTTTGTCATACTGTGTTGGCTTATGTGTTGCTGTGAAACTGGAAGCTATGCCACTGGTATTTTAAATAGCAGCAGGTGTCACCCATGGTGGACAGGTTTCAGCAAAACTATTAGACTAAGACAGACTAGGTAAAAGGAGAGGTGGGCCACTCTAAATGGTTAGCTACTGAAAAGCTTACGTATAACAATGGAACATTGTCTGATAATAGTGCTAGAAGATAAGCCCCTAAGGTTGGGAGGTACTTAAAATTTGGGAAGAGCTGCCTCCTTGAAGAGTTGACTGTAAGGATGTGTACGGAATAAAGCTTTTGGGGCCTTCCTTTGCTGATAGGGCACAGCTCAAAATGGGAAGAAATAGCAGCAAACATCCATTAGTTGGAATGAAGAATGTATAAACTATAAATATAGGAAAATTCAAAGTTGTCAGTAATGAAATGGAACACATAAAGATTGACACCGTAGGCATTAGTGAGCTGAAATAGACAGCTATTGGCCATTTTGAATTGGGTAGGATTTACTATGGTAGGAATGACAAATTGAAGTAGAATGGCATTGCATCATTGTCAAAAAGAGCATTTCGCATTTCAAGGCCCACCTTGAAGTATAGTGCTGTGTGTGATAGTATAAAATCCATACAAATACAGGGAAGACCAGTTAATAACAAATACCAAATATATCGCACCTGAATTTAGAGACCATTTCAAGAACAGATTTGATGCATTAGACACAAATGACCAAAGACCAGAAGAGTTGTGGGATGACAAAGAATATTATACAGGAAGAAAGCAAAAAGTTATTTAAAAGACAGGAAAGAAGGGAAAGATCAAAATAGACATCAGAAAAGAATCTGAAATTTGCTCTTGGGTAGTGTAGAGAAGCTAAACCAACTAGAAGAAATGAAGAAGTAAAAGAGCTGAACAGACATTTCAAAGGGCAGCTTGAAGAGAAAGTATGTTATCATAATAAAATGTGCAAAGGAGTGGCATTAGAAACCACACTCATTACTTGGTTCGTGCACCCCCCTTCCTCTTCTACTTTTAAAGACCCTTTATGGAGCCCTGCTGGCACTACAGGGGTAAGCACTGGACTACTAAATGCAAGGTTGGCAATTCAAATCCACCAGCCACCCCTTGGGAGAAAATGAGACTGTTTGCTACCATAAAGATTACAGTCTCAAAAACCTGATACTAGGATTGTTATGAGTCTCAATTGACTCAGCTGACAGGGGGTTTGGGGGTAATAATATGAAGACCACCCAGATAATCCAGGGTGTTGCTGCTGTTAAGTGTTGTGTAGTAATCAGCTTGACAACACTTGACAACAACAACAACAAACAACAAGCCTTTCTCTCATGGGCTACTCTTCATCTGCCTGAGTGGTGGCTATTGAGATAGTTCAGTGTTCTGTGCTAGCTCACCCTTCTTAGTGAGCCCTCTTTATGTGATTCCCCTCTACTACAGTGGCATCATTTGCAATCTCTGTGCTAAAGATTTACAAATCTTGATTTTTCTTCTAGATATTTGTTCTGCATTCTGAGCATATATATCCAAATTTTTATTGGATGTTTCTTAACTGAAGAATGAAAGTATAAAGAACAAGGTGTATTGAGAACTGTCTAATTTGACTGGTTGGTGCACAGAGTATCTGTAGGACAATGGAGGGGGAAGTACAGCTAGAAATATTGGTTATTTACTCATTCTTCAACAGATAGTACCATAATAGACACTGAGCAAAAATACAACAAAATCCCTGCCGTTAGGGAACTTGTGTTTGTTTATATGTGTGTATAAAGGGGTGGTGATGAAATAGACAATAACAATATATTAGTGAAATAGATAACATATTAGTAAAAGAGATGAAGAGGAATATGCCAGGCAGATATCTGGGAGAGAAGTGTTTCAGGCAGAGGGAACAGCAAATATAAAAGCTCTGAGGTGGAAATTTCTGCAGAGCAGAACTCAAGGAGCAAAGTAATCTAGGTTTATGGAGTAAGAGATGAGATCAGAGACATAAAAAGGAGCCAGATAGTTTAGGGTGTTATAGACCATTGTAAGGACGTTGGCTTTTACTCTGAGTGGAATGGGAAGCCATTGGAAAGTCAGAGGTGTGATGTGATCTGACATATTCAAACAGTATCATTTTGTCTCCAGTATTGAGAATAGGATGTAGCTGGGCAAAAGTTGAAGGGGAAACCAGCTAGAAGTCATTTGCCTGGGTAAAAGATGATGCTGGCTTAGGAAAGAGTATAGTGTGGAGGTATTGAAAAGTAATCAGCCTTTATATTCTTTCAAGGTAGAATCAACTGCACTAACTGATGGATTAGATGCAAGATGTGAGTAAAGCCAAGGATGACTCAAGGTTCTGGCTTGGACAAGTAAAAGGATGGAGTTTCATTAATGACATGTGAAAGATTGTAGAAGTTAATACATGTGGAGTATTGGGGTTGTCAAGAATTTCGTTTTGGTCTTATGAAACAGATGCTTATTAAGTATCCAAATACATTTCAGCAAAAGAATGTAAGAAAAACAGGCAACAGAAATGGAGGGGCAGTCTATAGATTAAAAGACATAAGAGGGGCACACCAACCAATTGCAATGCATGAATTGAATTTGGATCCTTATCCAATAAAAATATAAAAAACAAGCAACAAACAATTGTAAGGTAACTAAGAAATCCTCTGAATGGGTGTTTGATAATACTATTTATGCATAATAATGATACTGCATGTATGTGTATGTATATTTTTGCAGATATACATATACAGAAACACATTAAAAAAATATTGTCCTTGAGAGGTACAAACAGAGCTACATACAGAGGAAATGTTAAACACACTAAAAATATATACTTTTATAAAATTAAAAAGATAAGTTAATTATCTTAAATTCTAGAATATTACAATAAGTTTTGATTTATTCTGTTTGTCCAAACTTAAGTAATAAAAGCATCATAACTTAATAAAATTGGACACAAAACATAAGCATTTCATAAGGAAAACATGTGTACAGTGTTTTCAAATGCGGAGAATAAGTAAATCCACTGGACAGCGAACTGCAAGGTTGGCTGTTTAAACCCACCAGCTGCTCCTTGGAAATCTTATACAGGGTTGCTGTGAGTCAGAAGTGACTCAGTGGTACTTAGTAGAATTAACAGCTGCTCTCATATAGGTTGCTAAAAAATTTTTGGAAGACAGTCTAAGACTGCATAAAACATTATCTCCCAAAATCGAACATTCACATATAGTATGAGCCAGCAGTTTCATCCATAGATACATACCAGAGAGAAAATCTTGGCCCACATATAAGAAGGTTCCCAGCAGCACTATTTATAGTAGCAGAAATCTAATTACAATCTTTCTTTTTAGTTGTTAGTGCTGTCCGTTGGTCTAGTTGGTTCTGACTCACAGATATCTTGTATAGAATATTATACAATGGCCAAATTGAATAAGTATAGGAAAACAGAACAATATGATTAAATATCCATAAAATCAATGCCAAAAGATTACATATGTTGTTATTGTTAAGTGTCGTCGAGTCAGTTTCAACTCACAGCAACCCTGTATAATAGGGTTTCTGAGGCGGAGTGGCTAGTAGGTTTGAACTGCTGACCTTATGGTTCAGACTAACCATGCAATCTAGTGCTTATCCTACAGTGCCACACCAGGACTCCAGGATATAGAATACTAAAATACTTATAATATTAAGAACAATTTAAACTAAAATACACACATGAATATGAAGAATGTGTATGCATACACACAGCCCTGGTATGCCACTGAAGGATAAGTACTGGACTGCTCACATCCACTAGCTACTCCTAAGAAACCTTGTTCAGGGTAACTATGAGTTACAATGTTTCTAAAGCACAGTGGTGGGGTGTGTGTTGTGTGCTGTCAAGTCAGTTCTTACTCATAGTGACCATGTGTAGGATTTCTAAGGCTGAAAATCGTTGCAAGAGCAGAACACCTCATCTTTCCCCCAGGGAAACAGTTGGTGGATTCAAACCATGGACCCTGTAGTTTTCAGTCTGGTACACAATCTTTCCTTTTTCTTAACAGTATTAAGAAAATAACGATGGCATATGAGTGATTCTTGATTGGATTTCTTCTAATGCTTCATTATAACTAAGTATTATTTTAGAGGGCATGAGAGGTTTGACTTACTCTGGCCAAGCTTAGAACATAATTCTGGAATTTACCCTTTTCATTAAATCCTTAATCTGAAGTTAAGTTTTTAGAACGTCTTTCTTCTAAAAATCTGTTTCCCCTTCTCCTCACCTCTTTTTGGTTATTGGGAATTTATTGGTTGAAGTTCTACTGTCATTTTCCAGTTTGGGGTTATTCTGACATGGCCGCATACAGTCCACATTATTTTCGAAGTGCTCATTCATTTAGCAGGTATTTATTTAAATACCTACTTTATTACCGGCACTTTGCTATTATATATCTTACCCATTTCAAGTGTTTAATTTAGATATGATATATCTTTTAAAATTTAAATTACAGTTTTAGCATTTACAATCCATTAACCCAATAATCATAATAATGATATAATTACAAAGTGATGCAAGAGCTTTGAATATAAATGGGTTGCTTATGTTAGAGCAAAAGAAACCTGCCCTGTGCTCAAACAGTGGAAAATAATACTTCTTGAGCCCACAAGGATGACATGGTAGTGCAGTGGCTCTGTAGGATAAGCGTTGGACTGCTAACCATAAGGAGGACAGTTCAAGTCCACTGGTCACTCCATCCGGGAAAAATTAGCCTCAAAAAACTATACAGAGTCACTATGAGTCTTAACCGACTTGACGGCTCTTTGCAAAAACAACAACAAAGGATGACTAGCAAAAGGGTGAGATGTCAGGGTCATGGTTCATGTTAGAGGAAACAGCTTATACAAAGGTGCTGGGGCAAGAGGAAGCTCAGCGTGATCAAATAGCTAAAACAGTGTGTGATTGAAGTGTTGGGAATCAAAAAACAGCTGAAACTTGAGAGACAGGCAGGGCTGGTCCTAATTTATTCAGGACCAAAGAACAATGGGAAGCCTCTGAGTGTTTTTAATTAGGAGACTACTCAAGATCAGATTTGTGTTTTTTAAAAACTACTAGCAGAATGAATGCCTGTCTTCTGGCTAGACTGTAAGTTCGTTCCACACGTGGAAGGACAGTGATTGATCTCAGCTAGTATAAGTAGGTTCTCAATTGGTTTGTGTTGTTTAGCTTTTAAATGTTTAGTTTCCTCAACTGTCACACTGAAAATACTATCTGATAAAGTTATTATGAAGATTAATGAAGCAGCTTGTGAGGTGGGCTGCACAGTAAGGACTCAGAATGCCTTCCTTCAGTGAGCACAGTGGCTCCGTGGAGTTGACTGGTTTCATGAAGGAAAAAAGTACAACCTGAGAAAGCTGGGCCCTGCCAGACAAGGGAAACACAAGTATTTGCTACAAAATTAGCAATAGAGAAATTATAAAAGACAGAAAGCCTGCATGACCTGGGAAAAACCCAAGGCAGTCCTGTCGAGTTTCCCTGTAGTGTGATCCAACAATGTGGATTGAAGACCTATGATATACACTGGAGAATCAGTGATAAATTTATTGATTAGAATGTCGTCAGAAATGTGCAGAGGAGAAAAGAGATGGAGATGTCTGTAAATATATCAGATAAGCCTACAGTTTGGTGATTCAATGAATGCTCATGCCTACACTGTTTAGTTTATTTGTTCCTATTAAGTTGGCTTTCATCTTGTGTGCTTTCATTGTATCTACCATTTGGGCTAGAGTGTTAAGGTAAAATTCCCTTTGCACAGTTGATTTGAAGTACTCTGCTTTATCCCTTAGGTATATTAATTTTTTTATATTAACTGGGATACCTTGTCATGTTTTATTCATTCCAAAGACTGCTCTTTTGAAAAATCTGTAATCTTTCATTTTCACTATTGTAGCTTTTAATATTTTACATATTTCACGTGTTTAATTTAGATATGCTATATCCTTTTAAAATTTAAAATGGAGTTTTATTATTAGTTTCCTGACCATTTCCCCCTCTTTAAAGGAAAATAGTGACTAGGACCACCAGCTAATACCTACTTGCCTTTGTGTACATGAATAAAAGATCTCCCATCTGGGTGGGCAAGCTACCAAAAGGATCTCTTGCTTCTGACACAACATGGAAGGTGAAGTCTGGACCAGTTTTCAGCTGTCCCTTGTGCCTTCCACTGAGTGTCTTAACTCATGTAGAAACTACACAGCTATACTTCCTACAGCCACCAAGTCGTTTCTGACTCATTGTGACCCAGTATAGTGTATCTGAGACTTTAAGTCTTTATGAGAGAAGAGTCAGCCTGCTGTGGAGTAGATGGTGGGTTTGAACCACCAGTCTTGTGCTTAGCAGTCTAGTACTTATCCTGCAGCAGCACCAGAGCTCCAAACCTATACACTTGTTGTTGTTAAGTGCTGTCGAGTCAGTTCTGACTCATAGTGACCCCGTATAGCATTTCCGAGGAGTGGTTGGTGGGTTTGAACCACTGACCTTGTGGTTAGCAGTCTAGTGCTTATCCTGTAGTACCTTATTAGGATTCCAACAGCTATACTTAGTTACCCCAAATAGTAACTCAGTACAAGCTAACTATTGCTTTTAATCATCTACACTATATGTTGTAGTTGTTAAATGCCATCCAGTTGGCTCCGACCTATAGCGACCCTGAATAGGGTTTCCTAGGAGTGGCTGGTTGGTGAACTTGAACCACCAACCGTGTGGTTCTAACCGACTTAGTCCAGTGCATTAACCCACAGTGCCACATAATTCTTTATAAACAAATTAATCCATTTTGAAAAGTAGAACACTCGTTCATTTATATGTTAACTGTGATCTTCAGTTAAAACATTAAAATTATATTTAACTTGTTTTAAAAGTCAAAACATGATTTGGTAAAATTGTTTTATTTGGGGAGGTTTGTCAAATTTTAGGAGAAACTTTATTTTGCCAAATAAAACGAAAATTCTTTACTATTTACTTGTTTTGAGTTAAGAAGAAAATATCCATATATGTGTGTGTGCACATATAGATATAATCATATAAATAGATATTTAAATATTATGGAATATTTCTTAATTATTCCAAACTGATGGTGTCCAATTATCTGTCATTTGGCTTCAACAGTTGTTAACTTACTCTTTTATCTTTGCTGCTTTTCCCTTCTCCCACCTGATTACTTTCAAACAAATTACTGCCACCTGAATGTCTTGAAGCAAATCCAAAACATTTTGTTTTCAGTTTGTAAATTCTTCAGTACTCACTCCAGAAGAAAATGATTTTTTTATTTTAAAATAACATGAGCAGAATACCTTATCGTACTTAGAAATTAATATTATTACCCATCTAGTTATATTAAAACTCTCTTGATTATTTCATAAATGGTTTTGAAAGTTGGTTCGTTTGAATCAAAATCAAATCAGCTATACATAATAACTGGCCAGTATATCTCTTACTTTTTATCTGTAGCTACTTCTCCCTGGGTCTCATTTGTTGAAGAAAGGATCCACTCTTTGAATTTTGCGATTGTTGAACCTGTGTATCTGTTTGACATGTCCAAGGATATTTTAATTTTTATTTAAATATATGATAGCTCACCTCTTTAGACCCTAAACAGATTTGTTGACTAAGTGGAATATTGTTAAGTTCTGTTGAGCCGGTTCTGACTCATAGCGACCCTGTATAGGCTTTCCGAGGAGTGGCTAGTGGGTTTGAACCACCACATTTGTGGTTAGCAGTCTAGTGCTTATCCTACAGCACCACATCAGGACTAGTAAATGCCTAGTCTAGTTGTTGAGAATAAAGGATTCCAGAGTTTGTGTGAATATGAAAGGGAGGATCTGAAGAAGAAAGCTCAAGGTTCTCAGGATGTAGATAAATTTTGTAGCACTCCATGTGTTTAATTCTGATTATTTTGATAACACTATATGGTTTTTTTTTGCCATCTCAAAATATTGTAAAAATATAAAATAGTGAAATATTACATCTTAGAATATTGTAGCAATATAAAATTGTAGCAAGAGCAGATATATATGAGCATGATTTTGGCTAAAGTTGACATTCTTTATTAACTTTTTCATTTACTAAAAAAGATACCAGGTGATCAGCACACCAACGGACTTCTTTATGGTAATGGAATATGTATCTGGTGGAGAATTATTTGACTACATTTGTAAACATGGACGGGTAAGTAGCGTATTATCTAGTACATTAATCTCCTAAACTTTAAAAAAAGAAAAGTATTGGGAAAAAGCAAATCACAAATTTATTTTCAACAGGGGAGTTGCTTCTTAATGATGCTCTATTAAATATACAGAATATTAGACAAATTTTCTCTGTAAACCTTCTCCCAATTCACAGTAATAATAATAAAAACCCTACTTTTCAAATGAGTGCTTTTAGGAAATGCTAAATTGCCAGCATGATGAATATGGTTTTTAAAATGAAGAATCTGTTTCATATTATGATATTGAAACTTCAGTTATTTCCTTTTCTTACCAGTTGCAAATAAATTGTTTCAGATTATGTTTTACTACTGATTAAACAGTGTGTAAATTTGTTGTTGTTAGGTGCCATCGAGTCAGTCCCTACTCATAGCGACCATATGTACAACAGAACAAAACCCTGCCTGGTCCTGCGTCATCCTCACAGATTTTGTTATGCTTGAGCCCATTGTTGCTGTCACTGTACCAGTCATCTCATTGGTGGCCTTCCGCTTTGTCACTGACCTTCCACTTTGCCAAGCATGATGCCCTTCTCCAGGAACTGGTCCCTCCTGATCACATGTCTAAAGTATGCAAGATATAGGTTCACCATCCTAGCTTCTAAGGAGCATTCTGGCTGTACTTCTACCAAGATAGAGTTGTTTGTTCTTCTTTGTACATTTAGTAAGTATTGTTGTTGTCAAGTGCCATCAAGTCCGGTCTGACTCATAGAGACCCCATATAGGGTTTCTGAGGAGTAGCTGGTGGATTTGAACTGCTCACCTTGTGGTTTGCAGTCCAGTGCTGCTCCTAAAGCGTCACTACTCCCCAGAAGCAAAGAAAAACCTGACAATTGACGTGTTCAGCTTTAGTACAAGTTTTTGCTGTCTTTGTTTTGTTGAGAATTCCAGTGCAATTATAATAAGGTTACTTCATTATATCTAGGCTGATTATGAAACTAAAGCTGTTGCTATATAAATAGCATATATACTCTCAATGCTGGTTTTTCTATACTTGATAGGTTGAAGAGATGGAAGCGAGGCGGCTCTTTCAACAGATTCTATCTGCTGTGGATTACTGTCATAGGCATATGGTTGTTCATCGAGACCTGAAACCAGAGAATGTACTCTTGGATGCACATATGAATGCCAAGATAGCTGATTTTGGTACGTGTCTCCAAGAGTGTCAATATGTGTACTTTGTGTTAATAACAACCTTTATAGAATTAAAAACCTGCAGTTACTATATTGTGAATCTTGTACCATGCAAAGGTATTATTTGGGCAGTCTAAAATAAAACAAGGAGGTTAATGCACTGGACCGCAAGATCAGTTTGAACAGCAAGGCCGGATGTTCAAGCTCACCAGCTGCTCCTCACTATGGGTCGGAACTGACTTGATGGCACTTAACAACAACAACAATAAAACAAGACCAAAATACCCAGAATTATTGCTGTTGAATCTATTCATACTCATCACGATTCCATGTGTTACAGAGTAGAACTGCTCCAGAGAGTTTTTGAGACTGACAGTGTCTTAACAGAAGTAAGTTGCCAGGCTTTTCTTTCGTATTGTTACTAGGCGGATTTGGACTGAGCGTCAGGCTCTGTGTTAGCAGTGGATTGCAAACTGCTTGTACCACAAGTGCTTCTTTACATTTAAACACACTTTGAAAACGTAGATATTTCTGGAAAAGTTACTGGACTATGTTGTTGTTGTTGTTGTTGTCAAGTACTATGGAGTCAGTTCCCACTCATAGCGATCCTGTACAGGGTTTCCGAGGCTGCAAATCTTTACAGGAGCAGAAAACCTCATCTTTCTCCTGCGGAGCAACTGGTAGTTTCAAACTGCTGACCTTGAGGTTAGCAGCCCAATTTGTAACCACTACGAGCAGAGCTCCTTTAGTGGACTATAGTCAAAATAAATTATTTCAATATTCAGAAAAAAATGGTATTTAACTGTTTGATTTCTTTTTGTAGTGGGTATCACTAACTCCTTTGTTGATGACGTTATATATACACTTTTCCTGATGAATGCACACAAACATGTACATGAAGTGTGCGTGCAGTTTTGGAGCTCTATGATTCAAAACTATGCATCTCAGGGTAACATCTGTCCTAAGAACTTGATAACAGAATATGAATATTTTTCAGGGAGCAAGAAGAGATTCAATGTAATTTTTATGCTTTGGACACTTTTCTAAGGTAGTCATGCCATGAACGGATGCCATAGTGTAGGGGGTTTGGGGAAAGGATTAGGACATGAGAGATTATAGAAACAGAGATGGAAAGGTACAAAAGTTTATCATTGCTCATTTAAAATAGTTACCTATACTTTGTTTTTAATCTATAAAACACTACTTGCCTGTCAGTTTGGCTTACTATGGTGGCTTGCTTGTTGCTGTGATGCTGGAAGCTATGCCACCGGTATTTTAAATATCGACAGGGCCACCCATGGTGCACGGGTTTCAGCTGAGCTTCCAGACTAAGACAGACTAGCAAGAAGGAGAGGCAGGAAACTTCTGAATGTTTACCCACTGAAAATCTTATGAATAGCAATGGAATACTTTCAGCTATAGTGCCAGAAGATGAGCCCCTCAGGTTGGAAGAAACTCAACTTATGACTGGGGTTGAGCTGCCGCCTTAAGACACAGTTGACTATGATGATGCAAACGGTGTAAAGGTTTTCAGACTTAACTGATGGGACACAACTCAAAATGAGATATAGATGTAAATATCCACTAATAATCAGAACATAGAATGTATGAATTATGCATATAGGAAAATTGGAAGTTATCAGAATTGAAATGGAATGTATAAATATCGATTGCTTGGCATTTGTAACTTTAAATGAACTGGCATTGACCACTTTGAATCTGACAATCATATGTTTTACTATGCTGGGAATGATAAACTGAAGAAGCATGGCATTGCATTCATCTTCAAAAGGAACACTTCAGATCTGTCTGGAAAGTACAGCGTTGTGTGTGATAGGATAATATTCATACACATACAAGGTAGACCAGTTAATATCACTATTATTCAAATATTTATTCAAATATACACACCAGCCAGTAAAACCAGTGATTATGAAATTGAAGAATTCTACCAACTTTGTCTGACAGTGTTTCTCTGCTATTCATATGCACCAACCACTAAAGACAGTGAGGATGAAATAGAAGAATTCTATCAACTTCTTCAATCTGAAATCAGTCAAGCATGCAATCAAGATGTATTGCTCATTACTGGTGATTGGAATGCAAAGGTTGGGAGCAAAGAGAAAGGACCAGTAGTTGGAAAATATGGCTTTGGTGATAGAAATGATGCTGGAGAACGCATGATAGAATTCTGCAAAACCAATGATTTGTTCATTTCAAATGCCTTCTTTAGACAGCATAAGAGATAGCTATATACATGGACCTCACCAGATGGAACACATAGAAATCAAATTGACTACATCTGTGGAAGGAGAAGATGGAAAAGCTCCATATCATCAGTCAAAACAAGGCAAGGGGCAGATTGTGGAGCAGATCATCAATTACTCCTATGCAAATTCAAACTGAAACTGAAGAAAATGAAAACAAATCTATGAAAGCCAAAATATGACCTTGAATATATCCCACCTGAATTTAGAGATCATCTGAAGAACAGATGATACATTAAATACTAAAGACCGAAGACCCAAAGAGTTGGGGGATGACATCCAGAACATCATACAGGTAGAAATAAAAAAGTCATTAAGAACACAAGAAAAAACGAAAAGGTCAAAGTGGATGTCGAGTGTAGAGATGCTAAAGCAAATGAAAGAAATAAAGGAGGTACAAGAGTTGAACAGAAAATTTCAAAGATCAGCTCGAGAAGATAAAGCCAAATATTATAATAACATGTGTGAAGATATGGAATCAGAAAACCAAAAAGGAAGAACACGCTCAGCTCAGCATTTCTCAAGCTGGGGGAACTGAAGAAAAAATTCAAGCCTCGACTTTTGTTATTGAAAGATTCTCTGGGCAAATTATTGAATGATGCAGAATGCATCAAGAGAAG